AGATTCGTTCGAGCTTTTATTTCAGATGTCAACTTCAAAAGCCTTTCAAATATCACTATCAATCATCATAGGTGGATAATTTCTTGAATATTCGAACGTTCGAATATAATTTCCGTGATGTCCGAAACGGTATCACATTCGAACTGAGGTCATGAGATTATGTCTCAGCTCCAGGTCTGTTATTAGAAACAGAAACTTAAGTTCATGCAGTGCTCTTCAGTGAAAGATTTGACTGACTTTGGCCACTGATATGAACCCCAATGAGGTTTGGACACGAAAACTGTTCCATTCCAAGTGTCATCATCAACTGGCAATTTTTTCTCGTCGTATACGACACAGAGATTGTCCAGACGAGGACCACATCCGTGCATACCTTGTGGATCTCGAATCTAAATCAGTTGTGTATGCATTTCGAATCATATCGGAAAGATCATCTCGAAAAACCAATCAGATCAGAAATTCCGTGTTGAAAACAATCCCTCTTCAACAGCTCACAGCTAACACAAGCAGAATTTCATCATGCTGTATAAGGAAACGACCATTTTTGGAGGATTCCAAACGATTCGAACGGATTTCGGCTTATTCCACGCCATCCAACCAGTCAAACAGTCCGCAGCACATTGTCGCCATAATGAGCGAACATCGGTCAACATTTGAAGAAACACCTGATTTTCATAGCATCTTTTAGCACGATCTGGGCATTAGTCAACTGATCTTCTCAGATATTTGTTTAATTTTGGAATATTTTTGTTTGTCACACTTTCGATGAATCAACTATAAATATATGAGAGCGAGAAGTGAAACTCTAAATTCTTAAGTTTCAAGTGAAGCAATGCTTCTGCAAGTTCAACCTTCAGTGCAGCCACATCAAAATCATTCCTGTGTAAAGTGTACAGAAATGATCTGGCACAATCAACGTTACGCCAATGATAAAATTGTCCTTTATTCAGGCAAGTCATAACCAACTCGTGTCGTAGCGTTGCAGTCTTCCTGAAATTCAAAAAATTTTATATCATCCACTAAACACACAGCATCAAAGAGAGTCGGTCATCTTTCGGGAGTCCGAAAGAAAGTAATGACTCGAAAAACAGTGAATAGATGCGATTGGAATTTAGTTGCGGTACTTTTGTTTTTTCGTTTGTCTTTCATTGAATGTCACTTTTGTTTTTTGCAAAAATTCGACGTCCGTTTTCGGAATCTTTTTCTGGAACTCGATAAATGCTTCACTGTTTCGTGCATCCGCATCAATCAATTGCTGAGCGCACATACGTAATCTGTCAGATATCTGAAGATTGTTCATAAAACTTCGATGGCTCTAAAAATTCCACTGAGAAAAATCGCCCACCAACACCGGAAATCGCTTTCTTAAACGATGTTCTTCAGGCAGATATATTCCTGATCATGGGTACTGATGTTACTATTCCGTTCAAACTGTTCCGTTGGGAAGCTTAGAACAGAAAATTTTCAGAAAGCACGCGCAGAACAGAATTGAATATGACGATTGAAGGGTGGAACAGAACAGAATACAACTGTTAGCCAGAAGTTGTATAACAGAATCATCATTGATAATGTGAAAGACCTCTATCATGGAAACAACAAGAATTTTAACTAACAATATTTTTAGCTGGTGACCATGATTCGACGGAAACCAATGAATAGGCTCGTTCGACGAGTTTAATTATCGATGGCTTTTCGGAGTAGGCGATTTTAGCGATTGCCAACCAACATCTGCATCGTACAGATGGTGCACTCGACACCACAAATCCACCCTTGATCAACATATAGAGTGCACCCTGAATTTTGATCGTCAGTAAGTTTCAAACAGTTGACACTCATATCAGATGCTTGGTTGCCTTTGCAAAAGTTTATCGTTTCAGCTGTCTGGGGCATTAAGATTTAGAAATGTACACTGGAATGGATAGTTTTCTAATATTTAACAAACCTTGATTTCTTCATGACAAGCTTTTGTGGAAGGGTCGAGATATTTCGTGATGTCTTTTACAATTTGAGCCTTAGCATTGGGAAATTTGGATAAGATGCGAATGAGTACGGTTTGTGATGCGATACGCACCTGAAATAATGAACATGCGACTAAGAGTATACACTAGAATTTTCATTCCAGCCTCGGTTATTATTAATCTAAAGAAAGATTTCAACAGTGCATAGATTTAAGTTCGAATGAAAAATGAGCTGGAATATAGCGAAAACTTCGACGGAATTATTTACACGCTGTCTGGCATAATTCAATCGTATGGCTGGCGTAGGATTTTTCTACGGCTCTTTGATGTGTTTTGTAACTATTTCATAATGAGGAAAATGTTTGTACCTCAGTGAATGAGTTGGTTCCTAATAAGACCAAATCTTTCAATATTTCCAAATGCGACGTCGTGAACTTGTCGCTTCGAGGTCGAATTTCCTTAAAAATGCTCAGAATATCAACCGACAAGTTTTGATAGTCAAACGACATTCATAGATCTAAGATGATTCTATTGAAATTATGCAATAAGTAATTTTTTGGAGTATTATTTCAGAGATTCAGAAGAGTTTTTCGCATACTTTCTGTAACGCGAATACACGTTCCTCAAAGTTCCTGTAAAGCTCCACTCGTTTCCCTCGAATCGGATCCTCATAGCTGGGCGACGAGGTTTCTGGTTTTTCACGGAAGCGACACTGGGACTGAAAAAACGAGGGGATTTGAAGCCGAAGATACAAATTATGATTGATGGAGATCACTTCGCTTCAGATTCGATGGTTTCAGAAGGTTTCTTCTCACCAAAGTTCCTGATGATATGAATGAGACCTCTGATATATATCTAGTTTCAATGATTTACATATGGTATCTTCTATTCATGAACGGACAAAACAACAGTTGATAAATTGAATTCAAAAATTCGATGTCATACTCCTCTAGTCGTAAGCAAATGCAGAATTGCGGTGATTTTTTCGAGAATTTTTGCTTGATCATCATGCAGCCGTAAAACATGAACAATCAAATTGTGCATTGTCTGTCGAACTCGCTCCCTTACATTCTCTCCACGAAACGAAAATGCTGCAAGCAGTTCGTGAGAGAATATTGCAAGAAGGCATTTTGAAGGAGCAATTCTTCCATCCAGTATCAAAAATTTGGCGATGTGAAGCTAAATTGCGCTGGAGAATGCAACTTCAGTCTTTGTCAATTCAGTGCGAAACCAACTTTTCATTTGTGGTGACATTGCAGATAGAATCTGTGGTTCGGTTGGGATTTCGGTCCGTGAGAGTGTGATAATTGGAGTGGTGAAATTTGGTAGACGTTTTCCGACGCAAAACAGCAACTTTTCAACAATATACAGCGATCGTTTGATTGCCTTCCTGCAGAATCGAAACTGATCTTTGCCAATCGTTTATGATATCTTATACTGATGATGGCGGATCCGAACTGGTAACCTTATGAATTTATTAATTTCAAACATTTTAACGATAGTACTCAAAGCGATGCAAGGATTCGTAACTTTAAGGCGCATGGAATTTCTGAAAACAGCCGTCGAGAACAAAAAAATGGCAAAACGAACTTATCCATTTTTTCGGGTGTTTGTAACACGAGAATCTCCTTAAAAACAAATTCATCGATCAATTGCTCAGCAAAACAAAGTTCGTCCACATCCGGAACATGCCATCTCATTTTAACGGCATCTTTAACAACTCCAGCTCCCCACTTCTATAAGAGTGATATTGATATGCTTCAATGGCTCTGATATTTTTAAAACTGACTCAAGAATATCAAAATTAAGCGAGTTGAATTCAGTGACATCTTTAAGACAGTGTTTCACAATTTGAGCACTGCTATCCAAGGTGCAAGCGATTTTGTCAGAGCAAATAAACTTCATAAAATTAATGCAATGTTATCTTGTAAATGGTTCTCACGTTCGGGTGCTCTGTTACACCTTTTGATGATCTAGCAAGCNTCATTAAATATGAAAATCGTTGCTCATTACTGCAATCGATTATGACTGCATGAAAAGCTATTGTCTACGACACGTTCATTTCAAACTGTTCTGCATGGATTCTCATTCTTTTCAGACGTGTTGTAGTCACTCTCATAGCTATCACATGCGAATATTGTTCTCTTCATGAGTTTTTATCATTCACTTCGTCTCATTTCATTTCACAGTTAGAATCAATTTCTCATTCTGTAGCACATACTGTTTACTGGATGCGTTGACGAGTGTTGACAACCGAAGTCAACAATACAACAGTTGAATATTATTGATCAACAACGTTCGGCAGTCAAATGATTAATTATAGAGTGTATTTGATAGAATGAGAATTTGACTTTAATTGTTGAATGAAATGAATGAGAAATTATCGGAAGAGAACACTTTTGGTGATAAAAGTTATGAGAGCATTTGTAACAGCACGGAAAAGAATGAAAACCCTGTTAAAACAGTGAAAAGTGAATCCTGTTAGGCCTGGACGAGCTAATGATACGTAAAAAAATAGGAGAATGAAGAGTGTTGCCATCAACTAACCTCATTTTCATACCCGAGTTGAAAAAATACCCTCACAATGGCGTTCCTATCATAACACAACAACTACATGGAATACTTATTTCCCAATCTCTTCCATTGCCCCTCCATTATCCCTTGTCACCTCCAAATTACCCAAAATGGGTAATTTCACTCCATATGAGAATCACTGACTTAGAAGATGAGAAAAGGGAGCGATTTGACTGGGATCTTAACCCAGATCGGCGATTGGTAGTAAAAGGTTGAGAAATACTGATCTAGAGAATGTTTCCAATAAGTGATTCAAACTGAAATATTCTTCAAGTGTTCAAGAATGCCTTACTGATTCATCCGTTACCTCAATGATTAATGATTCCTTCAGAGGTTTGTTCAGCTCCATTTGTTGATCATTCTCACTCAACGGATAAACTTCTGTCAGCTGAGTGAGTACATTCGTCAATGACCAACACGCACCCTAAAAGCAATCAAGTTACAAGCGTATGCCCTGTATTTGATGCATTCTTGGATTTAACAGAAGATTACCTGGTATGCATTCAAACAATGCATTGATATTGCCATCTTGTGTAGTTGTATGCACTCAGTTTTATATTTCAAAATAATTTGACTTGGAACTGAGAAAAGCACCATTCCTAGATAGATAAACCACATTGTTGCAGCGTCTAACACTTCTAAATGCTGTTTCTCCTCTGAAAGAATTTGAGCATTTTATAAGTAATTGAGATGAAATCTAACATTGAGGACGTGAAACCAAACGATTCAGTGAGGTAAATAAACAAATTAGACAAATCAGATTCTATTATATGATCAAAGATTTGCTGTTGAGAGATCAAATTACCGCAGTTCAGCTCTTTTAAGTTTTCCATGACATGTTTCAAATAGAGTGGCGTATACTTAGCAGGATTCGCCTGCAATATGGAAATAATCACAAGCCAATGAAATGTTCTTCTTTGATGTTATTTCAGATGCGAACGGTGAAGGTATCAAGATCTCAAGTTCATGAATCCAAATCTTCAGGGAACAACTGACATAAAATGCTTTTCCCTCAAATGAAAGCTTTAGGATACTGGAAGCAGCAGATCAGTGAAGTCAATCCTTACATAAGTACATTCCTGAACCAGTGCACACATCGCATCTGCGGCAATCGCATTTTCGGTTTGCATCGTACGCACGAAATTGTAGATTTGTTCAGCAATCAACTGAAACTTCCACTTTTTTTTCAACTGTGATCTGACCTTAAGCTAGTTAACGCTCTTAAGGTCTGTCCTTGAGCTATACAACGTAGAGATCTTCACTTTCTGGGCTTGATGTAATCGACTACCAATAGGATTTCCTTATAGGATTTCGTTTGTTTTGCATTGGAATTGATTTATAAATATAGAAACCTCGACAATTGCAGATGATGAATTGTTGAGAAGCGATCGAAATGCCGACTGTATACGAATGTTTACGAGCAGCTCATCCTCACCGCCATAACCTGCCTGAGCTGCCGAAACGTCACATATCGAATCCAAGCATGTAGTTGAGTCTTTTGGTACCGCAGTTCCCAGTTGCGTTATAAGCGTGAACACACTGAAAAACAGTATCAAGTGTTAATGGTGTTCTTATGACGAACATGATTTAGTATGTCAAACGCATTGCTATCTTGCAATATTCTTTCGAAAGTAAGCTAAACACGATGTTAAATTCTCAGTTTCATAAATGTGATTTGAAAGTTTTGCCGATATTTC